TGATCAAGAGTAAATAAGGACCACCCTAATGAATATACATTTTTTACTCTTTCGATACGCTATAGATACTCGTCAAGAATAACAAAGTCGATGGCGTTAAAGTGATACACAAAAACGGCTCCGTGGGGAGAGTCGGCGTGAGAAAGGAGGTAATCCTTTGCGCGGGCGCTATCAATAGCCCGCAGCTACTTTTGATTTCCGGCATAGGACCTGCCGACGAATTGAAGAAGCATAAGGTGGTAAATTTAGAATATCGCCGTCTTAACCTTTCGATTTCGAGTAAAGCGCGATACATTCCGTCTATATAGATACCCGTGGTGCGAGATCTTCCCGAGGTAGGCCGAAATTTGTTCGATCACCTGAACGTGCCCGTCTACGTGAATCTGCGGGAACGAGTCAGTATCACGCTCGTGAAGCTGCAAACTGTACCCGAGGTGTTCAATTATTTCGCCTTCGGAACCGGTAAATGCCGATAACGCGCCAATAACGATGCTGTCGTTTACTCTTGCGATGCCTATAGACACACTTTATGCGGTCGACGTTGTAATTTCGCCGTATACCTTTTTCTCCATTGCATGTCAAAGGATGGTTGGCCACTAACGGCGTAATGGGATTGGGGCGTGCTAATAACAGTGGCCTCCTCCTTTTCGGAGTGGCGTCCGCGGAGGAAAAATTGCTCAAGGCCATCTCAAATTTCGAGACCGAGGTGAATGAACCGCGGTTATATATTTGGACTTTAACTAAAATAACATATCGTAGTCGCACATTTCGAGGCAATCGCACCTTCTGTCGCGTAATATTCTATTATTAGCGATTATAATTACTTGCAATTTAATAATCATTACGTGGATCGAGGAGAATTAACAATCGTTCAATTAGACGTACAGATCGCTGTTTCCGTCGTATAACGACAGCATGCACGAGGGATTCATATATCTGGTTACGTGTCTGCAACCGAAGAGTCGTGGAAGCGTAACACTGGGATCGAGCAACATCCGCGATCCTCCAAAAATTAATCCCGCGTACCTTCAGCATCCCGACGACGTTACGTGCACCCACAGAGGTAAACGTGATCGACGTGTTGCGTGAAAATGTATTCTCATTAAGAGAGTAAGCTGTAGAATTTACTTTCACTTAAACTGGTGATTAATTTCGACGATTATTCGTTAAGCTATAAATCTCGCGCTGGAGATTCTCGACACGAGACTCTTTCGCGAGTACGGAGCGCAGGTCCACGTCCCCGATTTCGAAGAATGTCGTCATTTGCGACAGAACTATCGGGACATCGATTATTCGGAGTGCGTCATGAGAATCGCAGGACTCACGAGCCACCATCCGTGTGGCACATGCAGAACAGGTGCGGACGACGACGCGGTCGTAGATGAGGAATTAAGGTAAACGATGGGGCATTTACCGGACGTCTTATAGGATGAGCGGAGTAATTGTAATGCAATTATAATTACGTTCTCCAGGGTAAAAGGTGTGATTGGATTGAGGATAATGGACGCCAGCGTAGTGCCGTCTCCAATTTCCGGCACGCCGAATTCAGTTCTTGTCGCGATGGCCGAACGCGCGTCCGATATAATTTTAGATCGCTCGTCGAACTGAGATCCAATTTATTTTACAACATGTAATATATGCGACGATTGTAAAAATAATAACGCTCGCAGTTCACGTAAACTCGTTTGTGACTACTCATTACGATTGTCCGTCGATTCAGGGAGAGGACATGTGGGGGAGACGGTGTTATTCGCAAATGAAAAAGATCCATGGTGCTCCAAGTTTTTTGTAATTTATAATTAATGGTAAAGTTTTCTTTTGTTTTACAGTAATCGAACAGTTATTAATAATCTAATTAAATTTCGATTAATTTTTATACAAACAAAAAGGGTGAGTTACACTCAACGGCATAGCCACGAATCCCTGCCACCCCGTCCGCGCTCGGAGCATAAAGAAAAAAGAAACTTAAATTTTTTTTACACACTCCCTCCTCGGAGGACTTCTCTCAACCCCATTTCCCGTCCGGGATCGTTTTGCGATGGCAGAGTTTCGGCGTTTCTTCCTATCCCACTTCCGCGTCTTGCCTCTTTCTCCTTCGCGCATATCCGCAAACACACACGCACACATACACTCTTCTCTCTGTATTTTTCCCCTTCTACCGGTTTTCACTTCTCCCCGTCTTACGCGAATTCGTATTTGTTTCTCTTCGCAGCGATCGCTTCTCCAGTTTGCTCTCGCTCTCTCGCTCTCTTTTTCTCAGCACTCACACACTCACACGCACGCATACCTGTGTCGCCTCTTATAAATAAAATAGTTCGTAATAACTCGCGAAGTGTCGTTTCGTATTTTCGAAAACGCAACTATGCCCATACGCGCCTCGCTCGTGCCGCAAACAAACGAGCCCGACTTCGGCGCCTCGCGTCTATCTCCTTCTCCTTCCTCCCTTACTTCCACCCCATTTACAGCAATAATTACGTAACGTAAACTTAATCTCTCAACTTAAAACAAAAATTGGTAACCACGTATTCGCGACGCACGCCGCGAGCCTCACGCCCGCCTCGTGGAAAAAAGCTCTCGACAGGTTTCATCCGCGCGAGAGGATGAAACGTGGTACGAACAAAAGCAACGTGGCGCGAGTCGAACGAGAAAGGGATTTGTAGATCGAGCGACACCCTCCCCCGATCGTTATCGGCGATGACGTTGTCGTCTGGCGACAAATCTGTGTTGTGCCGACGTGACCCGGGTGTGTCGAGAAATCGAGGTGATTCGCGTTGATCTGGCTCGGGCATTACGTAAGTTCGCTTAATCGGCGAATCCGATTACGTTTGCGCTCGCGGTTTCAACGCGAGATCGCCGTAGCTCCGGAAGGCAGCGTCGCAACGAGGTCGGCTCAGATCAACGGGAAACACGCGGGGAAGCGTTCGCCGTGTGACTTTCGGCCCTCGCGGCATTTCCGGCGCGCGGAGGAAGCTCGCCGGACGTGCACCGCGCCATCGGATGCGCGTAAAAACGCCCGCAGTTTTATGCTCTCCTCCTTGTCTTCTTTTTTTTCGTTTTCGCTTTTGCTTTTATCATAGGTAGTGTTCTCTCTATCTTTTTTTTTGCTTTAACTCTCCAAGAGTGTGCAGTCGCATCGCGGGACCACGACGCGGGAAATCACTTAAGATCTAAACAAGTATTCCTTAATATTAGATATATAACTATCTATTTATATGTATTTATATATATACTTTTTCATATATATATTTATATTGAAAAAATGAGTGTACTCTCTCTCTCTCTCTTTCTCTCTCTTGTTATTAATATAGGGATAGATTATCAATTAATTTGTAATTGCGTGTAACATAGACGCGTCCAGCGCATAGAAACATAAATAAATAAATATAAACGGATATATTTACATTATACTCGGGTAGGAGAGGGGGAGGGGGGGTATGTGATATCGTGGAAGGTCCGCGATGGGTATATATATATACGTATATTCCCTTTTCTATTTCTCTCTATCTCTTTAAATATATTTGTATATGTATCTATATGTATATTTAGGTATAAATCTCATTCGTCTGTTGTTCCACTCTGCGATGCCGGCATACCTACGACTTCACCTCGGCGTAAATATGCGGCGGTGATAGAGAAAACGAAGAACGAAAATAATACTTCGCGGAAACAAAGAGACCGGAGGAACCGTAGGTAATGCGCGTAACTATATATATATATCTCGATATATATATATTTTTATTTATTTAAATATAGATACGGAGTCTGAGGTAGAAGCGGTTTCGTATACTTATCAATATATTGTATCATCGTATGCGCGCGTGTCCGTGTAAGGTATGTGTGGGCGTTGGTGAAGTCTGATCTATCGGTATTCTCCAAGTACTAGGTAAACAGCTCGCGTCCAACAACCAAAAGAGAACTCGCGCTTTTCCGCCGACGCGGCGTCGCGAGAAAGGAAAGAAGAAAACGTTAAAGGAAAGCTGGCGGTTTAAACGCGCGACGATCGATTCAATCGGAGACGAGAGGATCCCCTCCGACATTGGCGATTCACCGGGGCGAGAGCAAAGTAAAGCCTTAATTTGCGTCTATGTTGTACGGAATTCCTTTTCGTCATTAGTACTTGTTTTTATAAAGCAAACGCGTTACGTCCTACGTATATATTAAAGAAAAAAAAAGTCATTAACTCGGTGGGATACAAGCGACGTACCTCGTTTGGCCGGCCAAACAGAAGTCGAACGGATTACAGAACAATCGACCTGCTACGGGAGGAAAGGAACCGGTGAACGTCGCTGGACGAGAAACAGGAGTCAACGAGGAACAAATATAGATTGTAGTAACGAGAACGTTCGCACGCGCTTTGACCCGCGCGAAAAGAAAACTCGAGAGAAGCGCGTGGACTTGCTATACATGTTTGTAACCGCACAGGGCGGTCGTGCGGGAAAATCGCGAGAGAGAAATCGGCGATAAGTCCGGTAGATGATTTCCGTGGCGAGTGGTCGCGAATTCGCGCAGCGGTCAATCAATAAGTGTTTGACCCACGGCGATAAATACAATAAGTATCGGAGAGAAGAGGTCTTTTTAACGAACGAACACACCGATACAGTCCCTACTGTACACCCGACTATTGCATCACTTGATTCATTGATTTATGTTTATTAAGAACCTTATCGACTATTATACTTTGTAGTTTGTACTTGGTTTTCATATTCCTGAGAGAAAAGGACTCGCGACGCGCCGCGCACCGCGTCGACGCCTTCAGGGGGAGGAGGGGACGGAGAGGAGCTTGTCCGTTCATCGACAGTCCTTCTCGCACGGAGAGACCGATACGGTTACCACGTGTTTAATTAGGGTTGGCACAACCCCAGTAAATGGTAATATCTGCGACAGCTATATCTGTGGTTGTCGTACCCACATTGGTACGACAAGTAGTGGAGACAACTTATGTGTGTTTTGTGCCGCAAACTTGGCGAATGTTGCGACACAAAACAATGTAGATGCTATTTATACGGCAACATTTTTATTTTAGTTATCTTTGCCCAAGCCGGTCTTTCCGTGCACCAGTTTTCTCTTCCTACCGTCTCTCCTCTCGCGGTCCCTTCGCTCTTTCCTCCCACCTGAAACGAGACCGACGACGGCGGCGGCGGCGCGACGCGACGATCCTAACCGATCTTGCAAACTATCGCTTTACCGTGTTATACACAGAGATTTTTCGTAAGCTTCATTCTGTGCGCACCCTGTATGTCGTGTGTGAGGTAGCATTTGTACTAGTGTGTGACGAAGTATTGTGATCCGTTATTGCGGCGGCCGCGGGCCGTTGTTCGAGCGCGTTCGGCGACGAGGCTGGCGGAGGTCCCGGCCCGGCCCCAGTGGCAGTGTTCTCGCATATGTCGCCACGATGAGAGATCAGTCTTATTGTTGATAAGATAAGGAACGCGGGGGAGGGACGCGAGATAGGCGGCGGCGCGCGACGCCGAGACGTCGCGCCTCGGGAGTACGACGCGGATTCTTCGGGGTCGCGCGGCGAGGCGGTCTCGCCGTCGACGCGCGTGAGAAAACGTTTCAGCCCGGCCGCGATGTCGGACGACAGACTGTACGTGGGTACGAAAATCGTTCATCGCGATCGCGTTGGGCTCGGTGAGCGGGGGCCGATCGCGCGGGAAGCTGCTCGTCACCGACGCGCGTCCGGCCGCGCGGCGCACTTGGTTCTTGCTCTTTCTCTCTTCTTTCCCTACGTGTGTTCACATATACAATTCTGTTTTCTTCTTCTTCTTTTTTCTCCCTTTACAGCGTGTATAGTAAGTTTTACAAAATTCGCACATCCTGCCTGTCCTGTTTTTGTTAACCCTTAAACATTACGTTTACTTTGTACTATAAGTTGCGGCCGGGAAACACGACCCGCCTCGTTTTCCCGGACGTTCGAGGTCCCGCTCTGCGACATCGCTACGCCGTGTGTCTTTCCTCCTCTTGTCTTTCTCCACCCTCCGCCGTGTTCTTCTTTTGCCTTTTTTTTTTGCTTTTTTTTCCTCTTTGCTCCGTCGATTTTAAATATGCTTATGCGTGCGTGATACATGTACTATGTAATCATTATCAACTAGGGTATAGTACTATTATATACTATACGAGCAAACGGTACAGTAGTTGCCAGTGCATTCTCTGCGCGCGGTGTAGGTGCAGTGATGACATCAATTTTGCTCCCTCACTCTCCTCCCGCGGGCAGCCGCGATTTCGTTTCTTTTTTCTCTTCTCTCTGTCCGTCCTGGAGCTCGCTGCCCGCGCGAGTGATAACGAAGGTTCCCCGTTCACACCGTGACAATCGTCCGTCTCGACGCGCTCGAACGTGCAGCTTCGAATATTTCCAGAATCATTGTGGCGCAACAGTATTAATTTAACGACAATCTCTCTCTTCGCAAATGGAGCCCTCAACAACGTCCGAATCGTTCACCGAGGGAACCGGATCGAAAACGCGCGGGACTTCCCCTCTTGTCTCTGTGAAGCTTTCGTGCCGTCGAGGCTCTACTTAATTTCGAAGATGCCGTTCGATCGGTCAATTTAGAAGCGAGCGGGTTAATTTAACGCTCGGAAAGTCCAAATTACACGAATTGCTCGTCCGCTCGGTCTGATTACATACTCGGATAAGCTTCCTCGGCACGATCGCGTTCGCGTCGCCCCTTCGAAGGCGCGCGGGCGAGCCACGGTGTGAATCTCCCTCGCGTCTCGTGTCAAGCCTTGTCACACACGACATCTATAAAGGATTCTCAATCCGTAAAACACATATTATAGAAACAACATGCAACATTTTATCCTACCGCCGTGATACAATAATGATACATACATGCGCGTACGTTTGCGCGCGTGCGCCACGCGCGCAACGCGTACGCGCGTCGCGCGAGTGTCGTGTACGTGTGTAGCGTGTGTGCACGTGTCTGTCCCCGTGTGTGTGTGTATATTCTTTTGCGTGTACATATATATACATATAGACCAAATATAATTCTTACACCGGATGTACGACGGACCGTGAAAGCTTCGAAGACGGAAGCGCGCGCACTCGTCCCGTGCTTTCGACTTCCGCGATCGCGGGTCCGTCTCTTGCGCGTACCTCGACGAAAATCGACCGTAACATCGAATTTGGAGCGCCACCCTCGAGGTCGGCTCGAGGCTGACGAGATCGGGGAGAATCGAGAGTAAGAAGTAAACAATAAAGAATTTGTCGCAATTCCGTTCGAAAGCGCGTTCCAAGGACCGTGCGATTGACTTTTGAGCAAAGCGATACGACGAAATCAACGACGATTTAAAATCGATTCGAGTCAAATTGCCGATTTCCGGCCGTCCCGAATACGTTTACGCGCGTAAACCGATGTCGCGATATAACATACGACTAATTTAATTCTAAATTTCCGCTTTAATTCTACGCCGTTTAAGCCTTTCGGTACGTGTGCTCTCTCATCCTCTTTCTTTTCTTCTCATAATTCCCACCGACCGACAATTGTCTCTCGCCCTTTCGATCCGCTGTATGTGTGTGCGTGCGTGTGTGCGTGTGTGTTTCGTGTAAGTGTCGGATGTGAAATACCTTTTACTACGTATGCACTCCCATAATCCTTACGTATGACAAAACAATTAAACCTCGCGTTTGACCGACTCTTCCGCAAATTCCGCACCTGACGTTATTAATCTAACTTTCCAATTTCGCCGCCCTCCCCCCCCCCCGCCCCACTGCCGATAACTCGATCCCTCTACTTAAACTTAACGCTAATTCATTGTACCGCTTAAAGGTATCCTTCCCTCCCTTTCTCCCCTCCTTGCCTCTGCTTAGCAGAACAGCCGAAAACAATATATATATTTTGTATATATATTAAGTAAAAGATTCATTATATTTATATATATATTTATATAACTTGGCATACGCGATCGTATCTATTTACACGAGCATGTGTGCTGTCCACGTGCGTGTGTACGTATGTATGTCTCTCCCGTAACTCTCACTCCTCCCTTCCCCCTTTCCTCTCCCCCCCCCCTTTGTGTACGTATGTGTAAGTGTGTGCGCGTGTGTGTATGTTCCTATCATCGCATACATAAACGACACATAACATCTTTGAATATCCTTTTCCCGCGGCTCCCCTCCCCCCCAGCGGGAATTAACTTCCCTATGACTGTGTAATCTCCGTCGTCCAGCATCACCAATCCCATGTCCCCGGTTAACTACCCTTCGCGCCCCCTCGGGACAATCGATGTCACCTACGCTCGAATAATTTTTCGCCTCCCTCCCCACCATCCGTTTCTACACCCGCGCTCGCCAGCGCATCGGCGCTGATCTCGCCGATCTCCTCGGCGATCGACCAGCTCCCATCCGTCCCGTCGCATCTCGCGTTTCATCCGCGGGACGAAAACGGTGCGACCGGTCGCGACCACCCCAGAGTGACGTCCGCGACACGTCGGACTATCTCGCGTCGCTAATTCTCGACAATGGACCACGGCGCGTAATTGCGGCTCTCTCTCTCTCTCTCTCTCTCTCCCTCCCTCCCGCAAATCATCTCGCGCGCGCACTCACGGCTGCTCATGCACATATGTATACGCACTCGCTCGCTCTCGCGCTCACTCACTACGGCTTCACAGTTGTACACACATGTTGCTATTTCGATAATGTGCCCTCGTGACGAAGTAAACAAAAACCGGAAAGAAAACGGATACCTATTTTACGTTTACAGATAAGACATCACGTGCGCGGATCGAGGACCCCGGAGCTTTTTCACGCGGACGGGAATGATTGTGGCGGCGAAACAAGATGTAGGACATACGTGGTGCTTGACTAGCGTGTATCAATTCGTTCTGATTTACGATGCGAGCAAAGCACGCTTGAAGTTAATCTACGGTCTATGAGCTCCGAGGTCCACGATCTCGCGTCACCCTGCGAGAGGCAGGGTGGCATTGGCAGGAGAACTGCTCCGACATTAACCGGACAAAGTAGTAGTAGTAGTAGTAGTAATAGTAGTAGTAGCGGCTGTACGGAATGTACAGGTTTTATTATACTGTATAATATATCGCTATTGTGTTCCCTGTGTGTGTAATGCATTGCAAAACGATGAGGTAGTACTGTCATACTTTTGGCAGAGTTATGCGCGCGCGTGCGCGACGAGTGCTCACGTATATTTGGCATGTTGAAATGTTATTAAAGACAGGAAAGCAAGAGAACAAAGTAGAAAAAGAGAAAGTGGAAATTAAACGAAAAGAAAATGGAGGAACGGAAAAATAAACTCTCTTTTCGGCTTCTATCTCTCCCGTGCACTATTATAACCCCAGCTCGCGCACGTCGCGCTTTAAATACTAAATATTTCTCTATATCGTCTCTATTGTCTCTGATAACTTACGGTAGGCGGATATCGTTGTGAGAATAATATGTTTGAAACCTTTCTGCGAAATAAAAAGAAACAAACGAAAGTGGGAGAACAAGTAAAACGGAAGAAAAAGAAAATAAGGCAGATTTATCTGTATAAAGTGTAAATACTGTAACAAGTAATATCGTGGGTGCCATCCTGACTAGGAGTATATCTCTATATATCTATACATATAGGTAATGTGTAATATAAATCTATTGCATTGATCACATCTCATACAACCGGGATAGCAACTATTTCGCGCGTAATCGCGCGCACTGTTTAAAATCGCACGATGTGCGATCGATGGCTATACTCTATATTCACGGTACGCGACTATTGCTCCGGACAAAAGTCCGCATTTTAAACATTGTAAACAGGTAACAAAGTGGTAGTGATCGTTTCGCCGCGAGGCGCCGCAGCCGCCGCGGCAAACTTCCGTGGCGAATGCGTTTTGTTTTCTACGTATATATATTTTTTTTTCCAATTTCTCCCCCCCCCCCCCAGAAAAATCAACGTCGACATAGTGTAACGGTGTATGAACGCGATTATTGCTCGGTCGACCTCACTTCCACCACGTGCGCGCATTCGCCAAGAGGTATCTTCGCGCGAGCGGCTGCGCGGCTCCTACGCGGCTAAATCGCACGACAGTCGTCCGCCCTAGAATCGCAGTAATCTCGTAAACGTTATATAAAATCGTAACTGTATAAAAGGTGTGTACTACGTCGGGTGTTGTCTCGGCGCGATTCACGGAGATATGTGGGTCTCGCCGCGTATTAATCGTACAGTAGTCGAGTGCGTGTTCGTACGCGAAGTCGTACGAAAAAGGCGGAACTGAAAAATTGACTCGTGTGACTTTACTCCAGAGTAGAAAAAAGCGTCTTGTCTTTGGCACTGGTGCGCGCGTAACGGAACGTGTTTTCTTTTTTTTCTTGAAATAGGTACCGCCCGCCGGAGCGATCCTATAGGCTCGACCTCTCGATAAGCGATAAGTAGTACCAGAAACAGGTAAACCGGTTAACGGCGTTAACGATTAAAATGCGACGGCGAGTAATCCGATCTATGGTAATGTCGTAACTATCAAAAAGGTAGCGCTTTCTCCTGGCGCTGTTTCGTGCCACGATTCTAAGTTTACCTGAGTTTTGCCTTGGTTCTCTCGTCGCAGTCGCCTGCGCTATAACGGCCCTGCGTGTACGTGTTTATGCGCCGTTCGCCGCTCTCAGCTCGTTACCTTCATCCGCTATTTCTCTTTCTCTCTCCCTCTCTCTCTCTCTCTCTCTCTCTCTCTTGCCTCGTTTAAAAAGCTCCTAGTTAATAATCCTTACTTGACCGTTGCACTTTCATTGACTAGCTTTGTGATTCGCAGCGTTTTCGCGAGCGTGTATTTCCGAGGCGCCGTGCGCATCGTTGTTCCGTGCCTCTTCCATGTCTCCTCCACGTGTCTCTTGCTCCGTATCTTCAGGGTCGGCGCCCCTCGTTACGATATATCTCCGACGAACTCCCAGGCGCGCACGCGGAGAGATTGTCCACGCGACGAGGAACCGGGACAGCGTCCGCTGACGACGACGAAGGGAAAACGAAGGTACCTAACTGCAGCCTCTCCTCTGCTCTCGTCTCGTGCGCTCTAACCGCGGTCCAGTCTCGCGGCCGGCTCCGGCGAGGTGGCCACCGGGATCGTTGTCCCCGGTACCACCGCGCGCGGGCCGCGACGGCGACCGCGGTGGCGACGGCGAGGATGACAGCGACGCCGAAGACATTGTTACTGGGGCACAATGTCCGAGACCGGATAGTTGGACTGCTGGTTGGCCTTCTGCTTCAGATGCTCGGCCTTGTGCTCCCGCGCGACGTGCCGTCTGACGGTGTTGTTCCTGGTGAACGTTCGCGTGCAGTACGGACACGGCACCCGGATGCCCTGGTGACGTTGTCGTACGTGAGCGCGAAGGTTCGTCTCGTAGCCGTATAGTCTCTCGCATAAGGGACACTTCAATTTCGTACCTGGAAGATAGAGAGAAACCTTTCTTTAAAACCCTTATCCGTTAAATTACATCTGCACTTATTTTTTACATTTGCCTCACTTGGCGCAAAGTCGTTGCGAAAAGAAAAATATTTGCTATTGAATTCGGACGTTGGAAACCTACTATCTCATAATAGAGAACATTCCTCTATTCATAGACGCGCGAAGATTCCCGGAACCGTCTCAAGCGCGATGTACAGACTAGTATTACACAAAGGACCTGGCATGAAGAAAAATCTTTTTTTTTCCCCTCAAGCGGAGTTAACATTTTTCTACGATTGCTCGACTTAATTGACACGTAAGCCTATGAATTAATCGTTCTGCGTATAAGCGCGCGTGTAATGCCACGGCGAAACCTTCGTGGAAAGAAGCGTGAATGCAGATTGCGCAACCCAGCTTCTCCTTCGCCCTCTCTTTCTCTCCCTTTCTCTCTCATTCACACACACGCTCGCGCGCGCAACACACGCGCAGTTTTTTTTCTGTTCGCGCGCGGCCGCGCTTCGCCATTAGTCCCATCGGCGAGAAGAAAACAAAGTTTCGGCCCGGGCGGGCGATTCATGGTGAAGCATTCGGCCAATGCCTCCGAGATTGTTGGCGCGTGCAAGGCCAACCTCGGGCTCTAATACGCTTCCCATCCAGCCCGATTAACTTGCGCCCGAAGTACCATTTACGGCAACCGCCGGTTCGGCCTCCTCGCTACGTGCGAACACGCGCGGCCGATCGTAGCCGACAAACGATTTTTGTCGGGTGTAACGTTTCTAGCGCGGCCCGTACACTTCCCGTTACGCTACATCCGAAAGTTTGGCCGAAATTTTTCGGCCGCCCTCGGCCGTCGCGTGACACTCTTCTTCACGCAACGCGTAACGACGCGATTACAATAATGTATTTTTCTTATTAGATTATCTCTAAACGTCTTACTGTACTTGAGGCAGTTGAATTAGCTAATTAACCAGGTTGAAACCTAGACCAAGCTTATAGCGAACTCGGTTGCTTCCACTAGTGCGCACTGAGTGCACACTCAGGCTTGTTTACAGTCAATTCTGTCATTGGAGAATCGTCTTAAATGTTTCTCGAAATATTTCATAGCCAGTAAAATGATCTGTACAGCATCCACGCGGATCATTGTTTGGCTAAATACTCTTTGAACGTGTACTTAAGACAAAGTTAAGTACAAAAATTGACTATAAACCGGCCTCAGTGTGCACTCGGTGCGCACTAGTGCGAGCAATCGAATTCGCTATTAGTGTCGTGAGAAGCACACGCTAGAGATTCGAGAAAAAGTTCCCCGGGAGAGAAGCAGGTAATTAAATGCCGGTTCAGGTGCGACATAAATTATTTATACAAATGTGCCGTAACAGCGCGTCTTTGAGAAACCTTTCGCGCCTCAGCGGGACCATGCAAGGAACGACTTTCGCTATCCAGCGGGAAAGGCGGTGCTCAGACTCGCACAGAGCGGCACTTGTGCGACAGAAATCAAAATAACTTCGATGCCCCGTTACCGTTGAAGTAACTATAACGTTACGCGAGTTGGCCGTGACATCGGCCTCGAACTTCATCGATGTAGCAAGAAGCTCATTGTGAAGTCGGAGGGGTCGGCTCGTTGTATCAATGACATTCGCCGGCGAAACGCGCGTTGGTCTCGTCGCCCGTTAACCCAAACGAGATTTCTCTTTGTTTGAGAAATACAGCGACGTTAGCATCGTGACACCGGCGGGCCCCAAACGGCGGGGCCACGTCATTGCACACGCGCGCGCGTTTAACAATAATAATAAGTTCTAACGTAATTCTATGGTTAATCGCGGCCGATGAATTGGCCGAAATTCGCGTTTCACGAGCATAGGCCGAACGGGGGCCATTCACCAGCGGGCTGCGCGTGACGCACCGTGTCATTATCGAAATTATATAGATTAATCGGAAACAGTTCGGCGGAGGATCGAGGGAGACAGAAGAAACGGGAGACCGCCCATCGTCGAGGCCGTTCTCTCCTGAACGAAAAGGACTCATCGCGCCGCATCCTTTCAGGTGTCACGAGAGACGGCGGGGAAAAACGCGGGAAGGCCCCCGCACCCGAACGAGCCGGTCACGACGTCGTAAAAATTGTTGCGGCCACACGCAAACGCATAAGGCCCGGTTTCACCAAACGTCGCTTAACTTTAGTCTCGGTTTAATTCACGTTTGGATATAATCAACAATTTGAGTAGCTTCTTGTCGCCAGTGGTAACTTTTAAAAAATTGACCAAACTGGCAAAATTGATTCGTGAGTCTGTGGTGGCAAATTCATAATATCATATATGTCTCGGTAGTCAGTGGATTTATAATGACGTCAATTTCTAACATTTTTCAAGTAGCAACCATACGTTTGCGCATCTCGAATAAGACCAATCAGTCTTATTCGAAAATTATTGGGTCAGTCTTATCGGAAAATTTTAGAAATTGACATCATCATAAATCCACTGACTACCGAGACATAATATGATATTATAAATTTACCACCGCAGACTCATGCACCCGTTCTGTTTCGGCATAAATTAAAATGTCCAGTCAACTTTGGAATGTATTATACTTGAGAAGGACCCGGTAAAGGGGTCGAAACGTTGATTAAAATAAACAGCAATTTTGCCAGTTTGGTCCATTTTTTGAAAACATTCCCCTTGATTAATTCATGTCTGTCTCTTTCTAAAGTAACAGTTGGAAAGAGACAAAGAACGAATTAAGCTAAGCTTAGAGTTGAACAACATTGGTGAAACCGGGCCTAAATAATTGGCGACGCACGTACGGTGGTGAGAAACCGATCTTCGGAAATCTCCGCGAAATCTCGTGGCTCGCCATTCTCGGTTATCTTTGTTTATCGTTATTTTACGGTACACTTATCATCCGTTGTCACACTGATGGCGCGCCCGTGCAACGTCACGCGATTCCGCGGTATATTCGATACGCACGAAGCTGCGCTCGATGTCGACCTGACGATCGCATTCGTCGCTAAACGTGCGCCGAAAATACGGGCGAATGACGATATCAGTCGCGGCGAAAAGAAGAATAAAACAAAAAAAAACGCGCGCGCGGTTCCACAGCCGCGCGCGTGTTACGTGCGGAACCGCGCCGGCTCCTCGGCGACGGACAGCGCGCCTAAAAATAGTGGGCCGTGGCATCCTAGAAAACGTAAACGGGGCCGCGGGGCAGCGCACACGGTCTCGTGCAGCTGACTATGAAATTCACAAAGAACCCGCGCGCCGGAACAAAGGCGCGCGTACGCGCGAAGACGCCGTAAGCCGGAAGAGAGAGAAAGAGAGGAGAGCGACCGGCGACCGGGCCCCCCCGAAGGAGAGAGCGGGAGAGCGAGAGAGGGAGAGGAAACGAGCTCGGTGAGGAGGATCTTCGGTGGGAGGAGAAAGGGCAGGCGGGGACGAAGCTGCGGGGTAGATACGCCCCTGAGACATGCAGAAACGCAAAACGGTGCCGGCCAGGAAGCGGGACGAGCGCGCTTCTGGGAAAGGTACCGTGCCATCTGCGCCGCCCAAGAAATCGCCGATCCGCCGCGTCGCGCCGCGCCCGGGTCTCGTGTTTATCGATGATTGCCACACACAGCTACGTCCCCCGAGTGTATCGAGGTGCGAGCCATGCGGCGCCGAGGCTCCTCGAAGAGCGAATTCCGCTCCGCGCCGAAGACAGCGGAACCGAGGTGCGCCCCAAGAAAATGTCACCACCCGAAGGGTAGTCTCTCTCAACTTCGCGAGGCTCATCCTTCTTCCTGCTCTCCCCCCCCCCCACCCCCCCGTGGGGCACGTGTGGCGCGTTATTAAACCGTTATTATGAAGGGCTTGAACGAACGCTCCTCGGAAAATAATTAAGCGATCCAATTAGTCTCCCGAGCCCGGTTACTCGCTCGCGCCTCAAATTATCGTCACGTCCTGGGGAGAAATCCTGAGGGCCGTGAATCGATGGTTTGGAAGGATACGAAGAGGGATACGGGGCGACTCGGAGCGCGGGCCTCGGATTCTCGGAGGAATCGTGCGTGTTTGACCGAAGGGCTCGGGGAAGGAGGCGGCGGAGAAGCTGGGAAAAAGGTTCGAGAGAGAGAGAGATAGAGAGAGGGGGAGGGTGGGAGGGACAGGCGGACGGGCGGTTGAGAGGCGGCAAAATGGAAAGGTTAAGTTACGAAACGCAACGGCAGCCTCCAAGGTCTCCCCCGTCCCTCGATCCCCACACCTCGCGCTGGCCGCGACGACCTGACCCTTTTTTCCCTTTTCGGCTGAATGGATCGAACAAACGTGTAACGCGACGAGTGACTCCCTGATACACACGCAGCCCTACCGCAACGCGCAGCAACTCGCCGCAGCTTTGCTGCGATCGATCGCGCACCGCTGTCAAGCCGGTATCACCGTTATCAGCGTGCGGTCTCGTTCTCTCGGCCCTCCCGCCTTCATTTTCGGCTCCCCCGGATGCGTAAGCGCGCGACCTCGCCCGCGCCTCCGCTTGATATCTTACGCGCTGACGCGTAAGCGAGCCGGGAAAATGGAGGTCCAGAGGCGGTATCGCATAACTCGAGACAGTTAAGGGAACGCAAAATAGAAGATGACTACGATAACGATTATCTACTTTGCGGTGGCAGGTTCGACATAAGAATGAAATAGTAGGGTCCAGCCTCCGGATATGCTGTAGGATTCCATTGTGTAGAAATAGAGGTCCTGAGCGGGCCGAGTGATCCCGGTCGAGCGTCGTTCACCCTGCGGAAAGTTAAAAACGCCTCGTACGCGGAGAGAATGGGATGATGCGTGCGCGTGTGCGTACGAGCGCTGCGTAGCGCTGTGGACCTCGCCAGGCCTTGACACATTTTGTTCGGTGGCGCCAAATTGGTCGCCGCTCGGGCGAGCACTCGCTCCGAACGGGAGAGGAAGAGGCCAGAAGAGGAGGAAGAGGAGAACGGTCAGAAGAGGGGAAAAGGAGGGACAAAGGGACGGGCGAATCGGAAGGATAAGAGAGA